AACCTCAAAAAGGTAGGTCAAGTGAGGACAGCAGACCTGCTCAGGAGACGCAGAAGGAGACACAGAAGGAGACAGCTCCGGCAGAGCCTCCTTCCATGGAGCTGGCTCAGGAGGAGGTCTATTCTGGTCCTGTGCTCACTCAGGTGGTGGTCACCCCTACAGGCTCTACTCAGCCAGGGTTTCCTTCTCCCATGGATATTGCTCAGACTGGGCCTGCTCAGCTGGAGCTGCCTTCTCCCCTGGGGCCTCCTCAGAGGGAGCCCCCTCCTCCCCTGGAGCCTGCTCAGAGGGAGCTGCCTTCTCCCCTGGAGCTTCCTTAGTGGCAGTTGCCTCCTCCCATGGAGCCTCCAGGGATGGAACGGCCTCTTCCCATGGAGCTTGCTCAGATGGAACAGCCTCCTCCCATGGAGCCTGATCAGATGGAGCCTCCTCCTCCTATGGAGCCTGCTCAGAGGGAGACGCCTCCTCCCATGGAGCCTGATCAGATGGAGCTGCCTCCTCCCATGGAGTCTCAGCGGGGACATTGTCAGAAGAAGCTGCATTGTCCTTTGGACCATGCTCAGGTGGAGGTTGCTCAGACAGGGCCTCCTCACATGGGATCTGTTCAGAAAGAGCCTCCTGCTGTCATGGAGCCACCTCTTCAAGTGAAACCAGTCACCAAAAGGTATTCTCCCCGAAAAGAGAGTACCAAGGAGAAGTCGGGCATTCGGAGTGAGGTGGTGCAGCAGGAGCAAGTCCTTATTGAAGTTGGCTTGGTGCCTGTTAGATATAACCAGCTTCTGAAGGGAAGCAGGCATGCACAGGATCTTCCAAAGGGAAACCCAAGAAGAGACGAGACACATAAGGACCAAGAAATTGGCTCTGATGGGGAAGGAAATAAAATGGCCCTTCTCAAGAAAGTGGGAACAGAGGAAGCTGGCAAGAGTCTAGCTACGCTTGCTGCTCCCAAGGAATCTACCAGTGTCTTATCCTCAGAACAAAACTTAAATGGGTCAGATGGTGAAACGTTACATTCTAAGTGTCAGACTGGTTCAGCTGGGCTTTGCGAAATGGAAGTGGACACTGAGCAGAACCCAGACTGTGTCCCTGTGAAAGCCTCAGCACCCGAACCAGCGTCACCATTGCCTCCTGTCCCATCACCAACCGTAACGGCCTCGCCTCCTATCACGTTGGCTGAAAATGAGTCACCGGACATTGATGAAAACGAAAGCATCCACAGCCATGATGGAAGTGACCTGAGTGATAATATGTCCGAGGGAAGTGATGATTCTGGGATGCATGGGGCTTGGCCAGTGCCACAAGAAGCAAGTTCAAAAAGTGGGAAGGAGGGGTTGGCAGTTAAAATAACCGAGGGAGAGTTT